GTGAGTTTAATTTGCCTCTCTTCTTTAAATGGGATTAAAAGAAAATATTTAGATAAAGAGAGATCTAGAAAGACAGAGACGTAGATAGGGGCAATGAGGAGATTTGTGATATATATTCCTCTGTCCCTCTACCTCTGGACAATAGTTCTTGATAATGCATTGGTGTTTAACGACATCCATTGCATCCACATCAAAAAAACAATAAAGAACAATTTCAAGGTGCAATATTATAGCATCTTCCTCACCTGGATAGTTGCCGTGTAAGCCAAAAGAGACTCACATTCATCAAGCATCGCTCTCTCTTGGGCTACTACTTCAGCAAATTCAGAAACCGCACTGTTCATCCCCTCCACCTGCATTATATAAAAGAAGAAATCAGAACAAATCATTTGAGGTGACGTCTTAAAATTTTATGGTAAGTAAACAATATGAAATATAAGCATGACTATTGGATTGGACATTCATGATCCACCTTGTATTAACAATCAAATGACATGCAAGAAAATTATGGAAGATCATGGGCTATATGATGCACCGACACGGACACGTGTCCAACATGCTGACTCGCAATTTCTCAAAAAAGTATTGACGGAACAAATCATCGACACATTAATTAAATTCTTAAAAATTCCATTTATATAACATAAATTTAGTTTTATACTTGTTATTAAATTTTATTGTTGAACTCTTTTAAATGTGAATACCTATTTGTTATTTAAAAATAACTATGAGTTGAACATATATATTTTTTTTATAAAGAAAGAAAATTATCAAAATAGAGTGTTCGGACACAGACGTAACCATAATTGAAGTGTCCATGCAACAGAGATCATGGACGTATAACCTCAATATTGTTAGGAATTTCTCCAAAATGCTGATAAAAGAGTACCAAGGCTATGGACACTGGTTGAAGTAAAGCTTAGACAAGAAGCACGGTAGATTTATGACTTCTAGTTCAGCTTGTCACTATGGTATGCGAGCAAATATTTCTCAAAACCTCTGTCATATTCGTCCCATTTAGATGATGAGGCCCATTGGCTTCCCATTTAGTAAATTGTGAAATGGAAGAGGCTGAATAGAATACGTTGGTATTGACAAAATCAACATTTAAGAGTGGCCTAATTGTACTGGATCAATAAATTAACCTATTGGAGTGTAGAATAAATTAAATATGATGGACTCAGAATAATACGACATCATTTTCCCTCTCATGTTGACTCAGCCTAGACTATATTAAGCATAATAACAGAAACATCTCACCTGCTGAAACATGGAGCCTATGGAGGATCCCATCACCTGTATCACATCAACTGCAGACCAAACAGCTGCCTTAATTGTTTCAATGTCCCCCTGCAAAATTGCAAACCAATTAATCAGTAATTTCACTTGTATAAATTTGAATCTAAAGAACTTCTGAGAAACTGATATACCTTTGCCCCTCCAGTGACTGGAACACGGAGAGTGCTGGCCTGAAGATCTTGTATAGCCCAGGATAACACATTAGTATGATCCCTTTCAATAGAAGCCCACTCATCTAGACAGGTCAGCTGAAAAGGGTTGTATGCAATATAATATTTAGGACATCAATGAAGTAAAAGTTTAACATGCGATAAAAACACTTACTGAAAATATATTTTACGTATATAAGTATTACAAAGAAATGTATATATATCAGATGGACCTTTCAGTAGAAAGTTGGAGTTTATTCATGTTTTCATTTGTTTTTATTTATAATAGGAGAGGAGATGGGGATGCTCCCAGAATGCACATAATTTTAAAAGGACCAGTTTGCAAGACACTTGCAAAAGCAATTCATAAAGTTCGACAAAGATAGAATTTGTTTGATTCATTGTAAACCACGTGGT